GGCGCAGGATAGAGCAGGGTTTAGAGCTGTTGTGCATAGGGTCGCTATGAGTCGGAAACGACTCGATGGCACATAACAACAACAACAACAATCATTCTTCTCACTTGCTGTGTCTCTAGGGCTCAGAACAGTCTGTGGTGTGAATTTGGCTCTCAAGCCTTACCCCTGACTGTTGTTGCGTTTATTTTGAGGGCATTTGAGGACTTGCCATGACAATCAATACCAAATTCTTCTGAAACCAGTGTTTGGCTTTCTGCTTTCAATAGACGTCTTTCCCGCCTTGATAATCCCCTCTATGATGCTGGGGAAATAGAAGTTTGTCAGGTTGAGGAATTTATTTAAATAATTATTTATTATTATTATTTCTTTAAATAATCTGCTGTCCATTGCTTGCTGCATCAGTAGCTGTCCTATTCAGTAAGCCCTGGAGGCTCTGTGGCTCCCACGAATGGTATTGTGAGCATATTTACTCCAGTTATGGATGTGTGTACAAAGATGATGTTGTACAGTTTAATAGATATCCACAATGAATCCTTACAGATTGATATAACTGTAAAAGTTATTTTCTATTTGAATTTAGTATTATAGTTGCTATTTCCTTGTCTTTTTTTTTTTTTTACCTCTGATGCTTCCTAGACACTACATATATTTCCACATTTTGACTTTACAACAGTGTGAGTTAGGAGATTATATCTTTATTAGTGAAGTGGAAACTGAAACTCAATGTGATGAAAGCTTATTCTCTGAAGTTATAAAGACCATGAGTGATGGAGCTAACATTTGAACTCACGTATTTCTAATCATAAAACTCTAAACTACTGTACTGTGTTTTCCTCATCTAAGATGCTTCCTTCTGTATCTAGAATTGTTTTCTGTTTAAATTGGCAGATACTGAGTTGCAAAGACCCGTTAGTTCCCTATGCCATTCATAGATAGATTTTAAATCTTTTTAACAGCATTGCAAATATGTGTAATTTATAATGACAAACACAGCCAGATTACATTCTTGTTATCCATCCATTTAGCAAATTTACCTTTTCCATTAATTTTAATCTGTCCTTATTACCTGTTTTATATAATAAATATCTCTTAGTCATGACAGACTGAGTATAGATCACATGAAGTAGGCTTTCTCTCACGAAGCACAGTTGCAACTAAAGATTTGTGAATTAATTGGGAAAATTGCAAATCAGGTAGTCAGTGAAATAATTCATTGTCACATCCAATCAATAAACTTTGTAAATCAACTCATTTAATTCAAAAAATGATCTATATAGATCAAGCAACCAATTAAACAATTAGCATGCACTTTGCAATTAATTAATTCAAGCCTCAATCATGTAATTAAAACTCTAAATTTAAGCTGCAGAATTTAGAATTCTACCGCCTTGTGAACTATTAGATTCATGCTTCCAAAGCTAGCTTGGTCTAGCAGATTTGCAATTTTGCAGTTACATTTTGAAGCAGGCTATCTTAAAGGATGTAAGTACATTTCAGCTTAAAGTAATCATTAGGTTGATACAGTTTCCCAACCTTTGTCAGTACTGCCAACTTTTTAATTTTCCCCAAAAAGAGAGAAGAGCTTCTAAATTGGAGAAGATAAGAGTCTTGGAGTACTGACTGGAGAAAATAGGGAAGTATGAAAACTCCAGAAGTAGTTGAGTGAGTGGGCCAGTTATCTATATCAGGTTATGTAGATCAGATCATGTACCTGTACACTTATAGAAATCCATGATATATTGAGTCAGATTGTGCCAAGCAAGTAGGATGCTTCTATAAGATAGCAGAAATCTCTATGGTTGATTTTGGTTACCTTGACTTCTAATGTGCAGCACAGACATTTCCTGTATTCTAACTCTAAGTCAAACCAGATGCGATTCTTCCAAAATATAGTTTCCTCCATTTAAGTTTGTTTATACTTCTATGGTAGTCATTGTAAGTTTATATTCTAGTTAATGTAGTGCTTACTTTTCCTTTCTACTGTACTGTGAGCTTTGAAAGCTGATACTAACATCTCTTTTTTTGTCTAAGGGATTAAGTTTTATATCTTATTTACAACAGGTGTCTGATGAGTATTTTTTATAATACAAAGCTCCTTATTTCCTATTGTTTTGCTCCCCTTCACAAGCTGTATGTTTTAACTCCACAAAATAAAAATGGAAGTTCTAACTGTATCATCTGATTTGGAGCCAAGAAATATGTCCTCAGTTTCCTTACTGTACACCATATCTTTTGTTCTCTTTGTTCATTCTCTGGTTTGGTATTCATGTACCTTTGTGGTTTTTCTTTCAGTGACAACGTCAGTGCCTACTGCCTGCATATTGCTGAGGATGATGGAGAGGTGGACACAGATTTCCCCCCTCTGGATTCCAACGAGCCTATTCATAAGTTTGGCTTTAGTACATTGGCTCTCGTTGAAAAATATTCATCTCCTGGTCTGGCATCCAAAGAGTCGCTCTTTGTTCGAATGTGAGTATTAACTCCATTATTTATGTCATTATTTCATCCCTATCATCTAGCATTTAGGTGTGATTTTGGTTATGTTCAGCAGATTAATTTTATTTGTTGTTTTGAGTGGCTACATGCAATCATAATTTCCTGAGAAATGTTGGGGACAACATTTGTATTATATTTCATACTTTAAATATAGACTGCTTCACATTAACAAATTGTGCTGGTAAAGTATCTGATCTAACAACCAGGCCTCTGCAAACACTAGAGCACTAGAGCCCGTGAAGTGAAAATTCCAAGTTTACCTTCTTTTTCTTCAAGGATTACAAACTAAGTCAAGATTTTTATTTTAATCATTTCCGCCTTATAATTTAAAATACTTTGTCTCCAACTTGGTTGAGATCAAGTTGAGTTTTTCTTCTATTTCCTTCCTTTAGATTGATCTGAGAGGTTCTTAACCCTTCCTTGTTCCATGGACTCCTTTGACAGTCTGGTAAAGTTTATGAAAGCTTTACAGAAAGCTTTTCAGAAAAGTCTTATAATTTAACACTGTGGAATTCATTGTATTTAAGTAGTTATCAAATCATTAACCAAATTTGTGATACAGTAAAATATAGCGCTTTATTGATACATTGCAAACAATATCCAGTGGCAGTTCTGATAATAGCTCCTGTTGTCAGTTTCAGAATGATGATGAGTGTAAATAATATCTGAAAACTGCAACATTCTATAACAACATTCATGATCTCTATTCATGACAAAATCACCAGTAGTGTGTATACTGCTTGGATTTGTTACCTTCAGTTGTAATCCAAGAAAATGCTAAAGATTGTTAATGAAAATAAAATGCATATTTTCATCTATTCTAATTTACAGGGCATTTCCTTATTGTTAGAGTTCTGGCTTTACTCTGACCTAAGCTCTTAAAGGCCCCTTCAAGGCCTTCTCTTTGCTGTCTCTTGGGAACAATAGCGATCTCTTTGGCACCCCCTGCTGTTAGTAACCAGCAGGTTTCCATAGCCAAAGGGATTGCTGAGGAGGACTTTTTCCTTATTTAAAACATAAATATTCTGTTTGAAATTTTTACTAAAAATAAGATCACATTCTAGATTTCTCTTACTTTGAGCAAAGAAAGAATACTTGACTACTTGGAGGTGCATTTTTAGGTGGCTTCTCAAATTTTTGTAAGGCCATCTCATTCCTTATTGTGAAGACATTTTTGGTGTATATAACACTAATATATTCTATCTTTTTTTCACATTTTAAAGATACTAGAAAAAACTTTAAAGACTATTTGAGATAAGCTTAAAAGTTGTTTCATGATTCCTTCATCCTAATACAAACAACTATTTTTATTTCAGTCTTCTAACTTTTGTAGAAATTATTATTAGTTTACATAGTATTTTGTTATTTTAACTTAGTGTTATAAACATTTTCATATTTACTCTTTATTTACATGATCTACTTTTAACGTAACCAGAGATTTAGTCCGAGATGATGCTCACCCTCACGAAGCTTACTGTCTAATGGGGAGAGAGTCTTTGGGCAAATTGTTCAAGTATGATGAGCCATGCAAAAGGGAAATGTACATAACTTATTAGAAACCTTTCACAGCATGTTTAGGTGGTTTTCATATTAGGGTTTTAGTGCATGATTTTATACTGATAGTCATTGCTTACATCCCTTTTATTTCATTTAAATTACTTCCTTAATATAAGTTCCTGTGAGTAGGATTTTTGGTCAGAAAGTAGAAACCACACTAAGCTTTCACTTCATATTTTCGTGTAGTCTTCCGGAAAATACACCAATTTATAGAGCTACAGACAATTTAAATGCCTTTTTAAAAAAATCTGATCATCATAAGCTATTATATCTAACAGGTGTTTTTTTTTTCTTTCTACTTTCTCTCTTAAAAGATGTTTAGTATTTCAGTAGTTTTATTTGCATTTTTATCATTTATTAATAAGTGGTTTGGAAGAATTTGGTTCTTTTGCACATAATTTTTACTCCACAAATATTAGTATATGAGCATAGTAGTCTTTTGAAATGAAAGTTCTTTTTTAAAGCAAAAGCTTTTAAAAATTCTTTTCAGTGGAGCAGGACTAGGAGTAGAATTGGGTACATCTTCCCCAAAGAAGTAACTAAAATTATGGAATATTTTATTGTAAGCCCCACTTTCCTCAAAATGGGTCAATGGATAGACAGAGAGTAACAAATGCTTTAAACTTGTTATCTTTTTTGTTTATTTTAGTCTGAGTTATTCCCACTCCTAAATTCTACTCCTAATTGCATCTCAGCCTGTCCTCTTTCTGTTGTAAAGTTTAAGAGTTTATTTGACAAGTCTGGAGTTTTTCTGAAAACATGAGGTAAAGTGCTGTGTTAGTATTTAGAACAAAAATGTTAATAAATTTTCTTCTCCCCCCCCCCCGCCCCAGTTTTCTGATGAAATGGTACAGATTGCTGGCCATTTGCCATATGTATATTTTTTTTAGTTCGACAGTCTTCCCTTTGCCTTTCTGGTCTTAAGTTGGTTTTTCCTACAAAATCAGCACAGAGCCTATTTTTCAGAAGTCTAGAGAGATGTGTCTGAAGTCTTAGTCAAACTCCAAAAAATAAGTAAAGCCATAGCTCCTTCACTTCTTCATTTCCCCTGTTCTTCCTTGTATCTCTCTCCTTGTGGAGAAGAGACACTTAGTCATGTAAGTCACAAAGAAGACACTGAATTGAACCATAGAGGGGGAACAGGGTGTGATGATAAAGAATGAGCTAATATTTATTATGTACATTTATAGTAATAATATATTATGTATTA